GCACTTTTGGTTAGAATATTTTCTCTAAGTACGAAAATGAAGAGAATAAAAATGAGATTACAGAATCTTTGGACATAAATTTAACCTGGCACGAAGGAACGAACAGTAATAGAAATAATAGAAGAAAAATTAGGGTTCAGAAAATTAAATTTAGAAGATGAAAAGAAATGTATTCAAGTGTTTGAAGAATTCAATACAACTGTATTTTTATTAAAATGTAACTCCATGCATGTATATGTACCTCATCATGACTTCCAACAATCTGAATACTTGAGGGATTAACAAGAGAAAAATATATAATAGGAGTTACTAGCTAATTGTCTAATGTTTGTTTAAAATATATTCATACATTGATTAATTAGGTGATTCACACACAAAAAATGTAACGCCCCGACACTCGATTCGAGCCGCAATTCTTGTTCATGCCATTGAGCACACAAAATATATACATACGTAGTTCAAAATTTATCATATAATCTATAATCCCATATGATATGTACAGTAACTATATATGCAAAATATGATATTAAAATTTAAAGTTTAACAAAACAAAAAGAAAATTTTTCGAATATGTAAAAAATATACAAAATAGGAACTATTTTTACAGGTTCAACTCGTCCGGCAACGGTTTTAGTTCTTCTTTTTTATTTGAAAAATATCATGGTAAAATTTAATAAATTTCACCAACTCAATAAATATTCCCGTTCTCTCAACCCAGATAAAATTTTATGCAAAATACATGGTAAGAAACAAAAATAATAATAATATTTCAATACAAAGTTCATTTTCTTATTTTCACCATGTCACATGTTTCTTGTCGACTTTCTGAATTCTTTCGAATATCATATACAATCCTCAAATTTATATCCACGTACTCTCGAAATACATAAATACACTCGAATATCAATCATCATTTTAAAATATAATCACATACACACGAAAGATCACATATACACTCGAAATGTCATTTATAAAGTTTCATCACTTGATGTCGTTTATGTCGTCATCGACGAGAGGTGAAATGGATCCCCTCATCGCATGGATAACACATATACAAATCTTACAATGGCCACAACAGGTATATTTAATTGGTGATTCACACTCACAACTACATATCTACGTCTATATTAAGTTTTAGACTCTATCCATGTATAGGTTCACCATGTCTGCTGAACTTCAGACACACACACACACTCCCCTTCTCGATTCAGACTAAATGAAATGGCATTCAAAGTCCATACTCTAATTATACAACTCCTCATTTCTAATTTCTTATTTATTTTACTCTTATTCTAATTTTTGTGAAATTTATTTAACTAATCATTTCACAACCATAATTATTTCTTTTCCTTTATATTTTTACCTTATTATTTTATTTCATTTTCTGTTTCAATTTTCTACTTAATTAGGAATTTCTCTTAATTTCTAAATTCATATCTCATCACAGTCTAATTAATCATTAGTCTTTTGGGTCTGTTTTCTGTTTTCGTCTCTTCATAAATTTTCAGTTGCTTAGGTTCACTGTTCATAAGTTTAGGTTATGTTCTTCATCGAAAATTGGGTTAGTATCCATTCAAATTTTAAAATACCATAATTTAATGAAATACATACAATTTTCAAAATTTAAATCCAGTTGAAAATTAGAAATACTTACATTCTTACGCATCTTCTCGAATCCGCTTAAATGTCATAATTCCCTGTACACACACGACATAATTTAATTAATATATTTTTAAATACTAAATAAAATTAATTTAATCGAAATTACGGATTTCAACGACAACCCGACGGAATATCCGAAATTATCAGGATCCATACTCGAAAAAATCTTTTGGTTTCTCGTTTGGTAGACCAGATTCTCATTTTCGAAAAAGACTTTTCAGCTTCCTGAACGGTGAATTAGAATTCCAAAAGGGTGAATTTGGTCTCCATTCCCCAGGAAGGCCCTTTGGCTTCCACGGGTGGGTCAATTTCCCCATTCCTGAGGAAAGCTCCTCGGTTCTCGTGTGGGTGGGCGACCCAGCCGAGCTCGTGCGATCGGCTCGACACTAGCCTTGCACCACAGCCGCTCAACAACCACCAAAAACATAAAAAATCTTTACCTTTCCAGCGTGGGGCGATTCGGCCTCAGTTTGGCTCCCGATGATCTTTCAGCCACCCTGTGGTTATCTAGCTCATTTAAGATTCGGATAGTGATTTCTCAAACCTACAAACCGATTAGTAAGCAAAATAAAAAGAATATAAAGAAATAGAAGAAGAAGAACGAAACTTTACCTTGCTTGCGTCGGTCTCCGCCTTTGCACAGAGTCTCGACCGTTTTCCCTTCCTTCTTCTTCCTTTCAACTTCGACTTCCACCACTCTCCCACCTCTGCCACTATTTCTCTTCTTTTCTTCCCTTGCAGCGGCCATTATCGGCTATCCTTCTCTTCCCACTCAATTACTCCTCTCTTTTCTTCCCTTTCCCTTTTTTTTTCCTTTCCCTTCTTCCTTTTCGGCCTCCCTCTTCTTTTCCTCTCTCTTTCTCCCTCTCGGCTTTCCCCGTGCGACAGGCTTCTTTTTTCTCTGTCCTCAATCGGCTCCTCTCTCTTCTCCCTCTCTCTTTTCAACTGCTCCATAAATGAAGAGAGAAACCCTAATTTTTCTTTTTTATACCCGTTCGTCCCAACCATCGGATCTCCCTGACTCGATCTGAGCCGTCCGTTCTCTTTTTAAATCTCAGTCATTTGATCTCCTCAAGCGGTTCGATCTGGGTCGGTCTATTTTTTCTGATTTCCTTTGTCATCTTCTACTTCCACTTATTTATGTTTTTACCTCATTTTTTTTAAATTAAATAAAAAGCCCCAAAATTGTAAAATTCTTTCATTTACATCCTAATTCTAATTTTTTTGTTTTATTTTATTTTACATTTCTTCCCTTTCCCTTTTTTTTCCTTTCCCTTCTTCCTTTTCGGCCTCCCTCTTCTTTTCCTCTCTCTTTTTTCCCTCTCGGCTTTCCCTGTACGATAACCTTCTTCTTTCTCTCTCCCCGATTGACTCCTCTCTCTTCTCTCTCTTTCTTTTTCGACTGCTTTACAAATGAAGAGAGAAACCCTAATTTTTCTTTTTTATACCCGTTCGTCTCAACTGTCAGATCTCCCTAACTCAATTTGGGCCGTCCGTTCTCTTTTTAAATCTCAACCATCTGATCTCTTCAAGCGGTCCGATTTTTCTGATTTTCTTTGCTCCCTTTTACTTTCACTTAGTTATGTTTTTACCTTATTTTTTCTTACATGTTTTCATTTATGTTCTTGAAATTAAATAAAAATTCTTAAAATTATAAAGTTCTTTCATTTACGTTCTAATTCTAATTTTATTGATTTATTTTACATTTCTTTTATTTTCTTTAGGTGGATGTTACAAAAACATTCACAGACATGAATCTTGATATCAACTTTTCTTTTAAAAGAATTAGTTCGAATCATGAGATCAACCTTATTTCAAAAGAAACCTTGTCCTCATAGCCAAAGCTAGGTAATTGTTCTTTCAACAAGCATGCCACATGTTTGTCAAATATTCTAACCTTCGCTTGAAATGCAATTGATTTGCCCTTTTCATCTCATGAAGATGATCAATAGTGGATTGAGGTTCTATAGTCCTCTATCATAAATTCTTCAAATGTCTGATCTTACACCTTAATCAAATAATCAACTTGTTACACACATTCATGATCAAACCATAGCATTCTTCTTTTTGGTCGTCGCCATTGTAATGATGGAAGCAAACACTTTGTCAAAGTAAGATGGTTAGAATACTAATATGTCAGGATCTTTTGACATGAAACCTAACATAGTGAATCTTGACAAAAATTGGACAATAATGAAGAATTTTTAGAGATAGAACTCAAATAGGTAATTTAGAAAATTTAAGAGATCTGTGAATCAAGAATATGAGAAAGAATATAAGGTTTTGTAAAGGAACTGGATGGATCCATACTGTTTTATGTTAAGAATATCTAGGTAACATATGTAGCTGAGACACCTCATTAGGACCTCCCAACAGTTTGGCTACTTGACATAATAGAATAACAAGAGAGTAACATGCAATGGAAATTCTAGCTAATTGGCAAATATTATATTACCAACTATTAAGGATATTGACTCGGTTGTGAATTAAATGTACAAATTATAGTTTAATTTTATTATTTAAACAATATGTTAACAGAAACTAATGTGAAGTACTATACATTCCTGTCTAAAATTGCAGATTTTTCAAGTCACCGAGATACACATATATAAAACATGTTGTGGGGTGCATGGCATGCGTTCTGTAGCAACTCCAAGTGTTCACAACAATCTGGAAGCAAATTCGCCTGTGAATTTTCAAACCTACTCAATCCATATTCTTGTGTCAACCATGCCTTCATAATTTCCATTGACGTTCTGCTGGTCTCAGTCTTCCTTTTCATCTTCCTTCATAAATCATACACCACGAAGATTACAGCACCTTCTCAATCTCAATACTTGCCTTTATGGTTGTTTCTATCAGCCATGTTCGGTGTCATTTTGGGTCTGGCTTATTTTAGCTTTGGTGCATGGATAATCTACAACAAGTTAGCAAGAGATCATGATGTTTTGCCTCTGCATAGGTGGCTTGTTATGTTATTCCAAGGATTTACATGGTTGATTCTAGGTCTGTGGATTTCTATGAAAAAGCTACATGCTTCATATATAAGAACCATGAAGTTTTCAGCAGTTATCTCCTTCTTCTTGTCAGGGTTTCTTTGCATTTCATCTCTCTGGGAAGCAATCCTAGCAAAATCAGTGACAGCTGACACTGTGTTGAACACCTTATGTTTTCCTGGATCAATTTTTTTGCTTTCTTACTCAATAAGAGCACAACAACATATAGAGGATGAGAACACAGAAATGAATAATGGTGGTTCCTACATATCCTTTCCCACCAGCGAGACGAGTTCAGATAATAATATTACCCAGTTTGAGAGGGTTGGTGTTTTTAACAGGATGTTGTTTTGGTGGTTAAATCCGGTATTGAAGAAAGGTAGAGAGAAAATCCTCGAGGACGAAGATATCCCCCAACTGCGGAAGTTGGATGAAGCAGAGACATGTTATTCTGTGTATAGTGAGAAACGTGGCCAACAAAAGCATGAGGAATCACCTGAAACACCAATTTTGTTATCAATAATTCTTAGCTCCCACAAAAGGGGCATTCTGGTTTCAGGGTTGTTCGCTTTGATGAAGGTTCTTACTCTGTCAACTGGGCCATTGTTTCTTAAAGCCTTTATTCGTGTAGCTGAGGGTAAAGAAGATTTTAAGTACGAGGGCTACATGCTGACAATTGGCCTGCTTGTTGTAAAATGCTTAGAATCATTATCAGAGAGACAATGGTACTTTAGGACTAGACTGATTGGACTCCAAGTAAGATCTATGCTATCTGCAGCAATCTATAGAAAGCAATTACTCCTCTCAAATGCCGCTAAAATGACTCATTCTCCAGGTCAGATAGTGAACTATGTAACAGTTGATGCCTATAGAATTGGTGAATTCCCATTTTGGTTTCATCAAATATGGTCAACATGCCTTCAGCTCTGCCTTGCATTAGCTATTGTCTACTATTCAATGAGAATGGCAACTGTTGCAGCTCTAGTTGCTGTCATATTGACAGTGCTTGCAAGTTCTCCTCTTGTCAAGTTGCAGCATAAATATCAGACAAAGCTCATGACAGCTCAAGATAAAAGATTAATGGCCACCTCGGAGGCATTTGAAAACATGAAGATCCTCAAACTTTATGCTTGGGAAACACATTTCAAGAATCTCATAGAAGGGTTGAGGACAGAAGAATCTAAATGCCTGTTAGAAATTATGTTGCAAAGGGGTTACAATCTGGTTTTGTTTTGGTCATCTCCCATTTTCGTATCAGCTGTCACCTTCTGGACATGCTACATTCTAGGAATTTCACTCACTACTGCTAATGTTTTCACATTTCTAGCTAGTTTGCGTATTCTTCAGGAGCCAATAAGGCTGATCCCTGATGTTGCCGGAGCCTTCATTGAAGCAAAAGTTTCTTTGTCTCGGATAGTCAGGTTTCTTGATGCACAAGAATTGGAAAACAGAAATACAAGGCAAGGGTGCAGTTACACACAACTCAATTACTCAATTTTTATAAGGTCCACTGAGATTTCCTGGGAAATTACTTCTTCATCAAAAGCCACATTGAGGAATATAAATTTGGTCGTTAAGCCAGGAGAAAAGATTGCTATATGTGGAGAAGTTGGCTCAGGCAAATCAACACTTTTAGCTGCTGTTCTAGGGGAAGTTCCAAAAATTAGTGGGGTGGTAAGTCACTTAGTCTACCATTTTCCACAGCATGTGCCCATATTTTCTCATGGAATTCTAGTTTATAATTTTGCTATTTTCATTTTATCATCTATGATGATTGACAACATTTAAGCCTTTGAATAATTCAGAAGATGTTTTATCTAAGTTTCAGTGTAAAATTTTCAGGCTAATGTGCATGGAAAAATAGCATATGTTTCTCAGACTGCTTGGATCCAGACAGGGACTATACAAGAAAATATTCTATTTGGAGCAGTCATGGATCCAGTAAAGTACCATAAAGTTCTCGAAAAGTGTTGTCTGGTAAAAGATCTTGAGATGCTTCCATATGGGGACCAGACTGGTATAGGAGAAAGAGGAGTTAATTTGAGTGGTGGACAGAAGCAGCGAATCCAGCTAGCAAGAGCACTTTATCAGGATGCAGATATCTATCTCCTTGATGATCCCTTCAGCGCTTTAGATGCACAAACTGCCACGAGTCTATTTAATGTAATTATAATTTTATTTTCAATTACAGATCTTTTCACTACAAAAAGAATTTTCTGTGGTAAATCTAATGTCGAAAGTTCTCAGGAATATGTCATGGGAGCTCTATCGGGGAAGACAGTCTTGCTGGTGACACACCAAGTTGATTTTTTGCCAGCTTTTAATTCTATCCTGGTTATGACTAATTCCACTACCATATTAGTTTAGTTATTGATTGGTCTTTCCATTGTACACATAAATTCTACTTGATCTAACAATGTGTAAATGATCTATTAGTGAATTTTGAATCTAAGCAATGAGTTTGCACTAACTCTTAATCTCCTTTTGACAGTTGATGTACGGTGGGGAAATTGTAAAAGCTGCTACATACGATCAGCTGCTTGCTTCTAGTCAAGAGTTTCAAGACCTTGTCAATGCACATAATAAGATTAACACCCAGAAGACTGTTGATTCTACTGCTGATATTAGATCTACAACTTCCAAAAAAGAGATCCCATATACTAGAGAACAGCTTGAAGCACCTTTAGGAGATCAATTGATTAAGCAAGAAGAAAGAGAAACAGGAGACACTGGCCTCAAGCCTTATCTGCAATATCTCCATCAGAGCAATGGTTTCATTTACTTCACCCTAGCGATTGTGTTACACATGATATTCATAGTGGGTCAAATGTTACAGACATACTTGTTGGCTGTTGACCTTAACAATTCTCATGTAGACAAATCGAAATTGCTGATTATTTATTCAGTCACTGGGTGTGCCTTGGCAGTCTTTTTGCTCCTCAGATCTTTTTCAATAGTCTTTTTAGGTTGTGGAGCATCAAAATCTATTTTTGTTAAATTGCTTGGCTCTCTTTTTCGTGCACCAATGTCTTTTTATGACTCAACGCCTTTGGGAAGGATACTAAGTAGGGTAAGAATTACTGAAGTAAAACTTTAACCTTAACCCCATGTTAGATTTAATAAGATCATGTACGTTGACATTTGCTTTGAACTTTTTGCCAGGTTTCTTCTGATTTGAGTATAGTGGACAACGAAGTGGCTTTTAAGCTAACACTTACATTTGGGACAACTATGAATACCTATTCCAGCTTCCTTATTCTAGCTGTTCTTACCTGGCCGGTCCTATTTGTCATATTACCAATGGTCTATCTAAGTGTGTACTTGCAGGTATGCATTCATTTGACAAGAAATGCTTCATAGAAATCCCTTCTGCTACTTGAAATTCTAGTAATTACTAGTTGAGAATTTGCTTGCCTTTTGATATCGTCTTGACAAAGCAGAGGTATTATTCTGTTTCTGCCAAAGAGCTAATGCGAATCTCCGGCACTACAAAATCCGCTGTTGCTAGTAATCTTGCTGAAGCCATTTCGGGAGCCATGACGATCAGAGCTTTCGGGGAGGAAGAACGGTTCTTTTCAAAGCATCTGGAGGTCATTGATGCAAATGCAAGGCCAGAGTTCCATAATTTTTCAGCCAATGAGTGGTTGATACAACGTCTAGAAATGCTGTGCGCCATTGTTCTTTCATCCTCAACCCTTGCCATGACTATGCTTCCTCATGGATCTTCTTCGTCCGGTTAGCAATCATTACACAAACTCTTTCTCATAATCTTCTTTTATTCAATCTTTATGACAACAGGTATTAGCTATCTCTAACTGAGATTTTTGTTCACCTTATTTTCCTTACAGGGTTTGTTGGCATGGCACTATCCTACGGCCTTTCATTAAATGTTTTCTTGGTTTCTTCAGTTCAGTTACAGTGCTTGCTAGCAAATTTAATTGTGTCTGTAGAAAGGCTAGAACAGTACATGCATATTCCTAGTGAAGCTCCAGAGATAATTGAAAGTATTCGACCTCCGCAGGATTGGCCGTCTGTTGGCAAAGTGGAGATATATAATTTGCAGGTGAATATATTAACCAAAAAAAAAAAAACTGTCCTATCTACTCAGAAGCATCAAAATTATACTGATATTTATGCATAACATTAAAATGGCATGAAACAGGTTCGATATCGGCCCAATGCACCTCTAGTTCTTCAGGGGATAAGTTGCATATTTGAAGGAGGTCAAAAAATAGGGATAGTTGGTAGGACTGGTAGTGGAAAATCATCTCTTATCACTTCTTTATTTCGTTTAGTGGAGCCTGCAGATGGGAAAATCTTCATAGATGATCTTAACATCTCCACAATTGGACTCCATGATCTAAGGTCTCATCTAGGTATAATCCCGCAAGATCCTACACTTTTCAGCGGTTCAGTCAGATACAATCTAGACCCTTTATCCCTGCATACTGATAGAGAAATTTGGGAGGTAATTTAATATTCCTATACTGCAGAGCAATTGTTAACTTAAGATAGAATTAATTCAAGCTAAAATACTGGACCTTTTGGTGTTTAATAAGGTTCTTGGAAAGTGCCAACTTCGAGAGGCTGTTAAAGAGAAAGGAGAAGGGTTGGATTCGTTAGGTAAGAGATCAAGTATAAAGAGCTATAGTTTTTTGCTGTAAAGATTATGAGTATTAATCAAAGTGGTGAAAGTGCAGTTGTGCAAGATGGGTCAAACTGGAGCATGGGACAAAGACAATTGTTTTGTCTGGGACGTGCATTATTGAAGAGAAGCAGGATAGTGGTGTTAGATGAAGCCACAGCATCAATGGACAATCAAACGGATTTGATTCTACAGAGAAGTATACGAACAGAATTTGCAGAGAGTACAGTGATAACAGTAGCTCACAGAATACCCACCGTAATGGATTGCGACATGGTGGTTGGTATTAGTGATGGTGAGTAAACTATTTCATTATTATACATTTGAAGGTAACATATATAAAGTGTAGTTATTTGATAGAGTGATTGTGGTTTTGGTAATACTTCACAGGAAAGTTAATAGAGTACGATGAGCCGATGAAGCTAATGAGCAGACAGGGATCACTATTCGGACAGCTTGTTAAGGAATATTGGTCTCACAATGCAGTCGCCAATTGACACTCTCCTAATTTTTTGTTTGAGGAGAGGAAGAACAAGTTTTGGTTTTTCTTAAATATTGCCTGTAGAGTGACTTCATTTATTTTGTATTATCGTTTTAATAAAAAAGTTGACAGAATCTCCCTCATCAATTGCTCTCTGTTTCTCCCTAATTTTGCCCTAGCAGCCTCCTATCTGTTACAACCATAAACTTCCAAAACTCCCCTTCCATTTCTCATTCTCTCGTCGGGATCCGAAGTAACCAAATAAAAATAGAATTTCCAAACTTAAAATTTCGTTCCTGATAGAAAAATCATAAGAAACTCAATCGTCACCCGATCCCCGGTTCCATCTAGCCTTTTCCTCGTGTTCCTCTGCTTCTTCTGATTCAGCAAATCTGAGCATCTAATTGCCTCGGTGAGAACACCTGCTGTGAGTCCCTCGATTAAAAGCTCCTTTCCTATTGCGATACTAGTCTACTTGGCCCAAGCTCCACTATTCCCCGCACGCCTAATATACCTCTGGGCATCCGTTGCTTGATCTCCACTTCGTTCCACTTTCTTGTCGCCGTCCTTTTGACATCAATTGGCAGAAAAGGTGGAAGTAGAAAGAGGGTCTGCTCTTGCCGGGAGACGAAGCGTGATCCGAAACGGCACCGTTTGAGTTTTGGGGGTCGGACGTGTAAGAATTTATGGGTTTTGGGGAACGGAAATGGATTGAGTTGAGAGAAAATAATTAAGAGATATAATAATAATAGATTCTTTTTTACTTAAAATTTTTAATAATGGAAAAAATTTGCTGGAACCCAATTATAATTTTACACCTACGAAACTTTAGACGATGGTCCATGTTGTAAATTAAAATCAAATATATATATATATATATACTTTAGAAGGAAAATGTAGCAGTCCCGGAAATTTAAAATGGAATTTATATTCAAAAATATCAAATGCGGAAGCGAGGTCAAAATTTGAATAACATCCCTTACACTGAAATCAAAACATGCTCACAAAATATAAAAGATTAAACTACCTAAAGGAGAAACTTGAAAGTAAAAACTACGAATGTGACTATGGAGTCTTTAGGCGTCCCCTTCGTCGTCGTCCTGCGGAACCGGCTCGGGAACGATGTTCCCTTGATCTGAAATGATTAAATAAGGAATGAGCTACACTAGCCCAGTAAAGACATCACGATATCTCACCGTCACGGAGGTAAAGGTAGGTAGAAAACACAAAAAAGACCAATGGAGCATAATTTACAACAAATTCTTTTATCGATAATAAAACCTTTACCATTTACTTACCTCGGTGAAATTCATAAAACAATATACGAAAGCAATAACATCATCATCATCATGGAAAACATATATATGAACTGTATAACATAATACCTATCACACTTTTCGTAATTCAATCGTTACACAACATATCTTCCTAATTCGCCAGCCCACTAGTATCCATGGGGATCCATAGGGGTCCCGCTACCCGTTAATCCTTAACACTTGAAATCAAATTCCAGGGCCGTCCCCATACCCCGTCCGGTATGGGCGCCAAACCATAGACCTCATTACCCCGTCCGGTATGAGGGTGAAACGGGCCGTCCCCATACCCCGTCCG